CTGTGGCCAAGGTCAGCCCTCTGCACCCGTACGGCCGCTGGACTGAGACTGCCCTGCTCCACCTGCCTGCCCCTTTGGCTCCACTCAGGAACCTGCTCCTGGCACTGGGGCCACATGCTGCTCCTGCTGGGGCCAGAGGTTTCTTCCCAAGTCCAACAATTACCAAATGTGTGATTAAAGAGACTTCACTGAGGTAAGAGCATTGCTAGGACCCATAAGCATAATGACAAGTTTTTCTCCCCCCTCTAAATACCACTACCATTTTGTTTTATTTAGAGCAGTAAACGGAAATCCAACCAGCTTGCTTATACACAAACACGTACGTAAATGCACAGCCCCATCTTCTTTGCAGAAGCTACCTATTTAGCCCTTCCCAAAACACAGGAACACACAGACACCAAGCCAAAGTTACAGTACACCGAGATTAAACCAAATGGTTTTTTTGAATCAGCTGAAGTCAAGAAATTAACACTGCAAGGTATAAATGTACCTAAGGTATTTACATGCTAATATATCTAGTAATAATATGCAAAATATTAGTAGATAACTTCAAAGCTTGAAAGACCTACCAGATGCAAGATTCAACAAAATTGAACCAGTCATGAGAGACAAGTGAAGCTGACCAGCAAGTTCAAACACAACTATCTGTATTATATGGTAGCTGCTAGAAAGGATACTTGTATTTCTGTGAGACTGCTGGGAAAATACCAAAGCTCGTGTGGGTAGAAACACCTTTAGATCACCTAAAAGATGGAAAAAGAACCACTTTGGCTTTAACATAGATAAGTTTCTTATGACACAAAATAAACCCAGAACACTCATCACAGCCTGACTACCTTTCCTTGTTAGAATTAAAACCTTAAAGACATAAATCTTCTAGCAACCCAAAGTCACATAAAATATTCAAAATAAAGCAGCTTTTCCCCCTGCCTTGGCTAGAGTGTTTCCTCCTGGTTTATTGATACATCTTTTTTCAACCCCACTCTCTGATTCTCTTCCACTGAAGTCACACCATGAGAGCTACGGGGCAACATCAGTTCACAGACAGAAGATGGGGAAAAAGGCCACGAGAATTATTAGGTATGCAGGACTCCTCCATTTATAATAGTAACGTAAATCAAAAGATTTTTAGTACATAAACAGTCTTTTTTTTAAAAATAAAGGACACCTAAATATAAAGCCACATGCTGAATTCTCTCAGGTATAATTCCACATCCAGGATAAACCTGGAAGCCAAAATTATTCTTCTAAAACTAGGAATTTCTAAAATGAAATAGAGCTCTTGAAACAAGCCCTGAACTCAGGATGCCAGACTCCTGCCTGAATTACCAGCCTAACACAAGCACCTGGGGTCCGCAGACCAGCTCTAGGTGTCTCTTGAGCTCCTCCACAATCCCTCCCCTGACAGGCCCTGCTGACCAGGACCCTCCCTTCCACTCCGAACGCAGTCTCACAGCCCATGATAAATACCACAGCCTCCTGGCAACACGGACTCCGCTGGAATAGCTTCTAGACCAAAGCCCCAGAAAAACCAATAAGCAAAACAAAAAGACCACCAGCAAACCCCACCATGCTACACAATACAGCCTAACACACTCTTCTTTCAAGGTTAGAGTAATTAGGAAGAGGAACAGAGGCCTAATCCTGCAGCTGCGTTTTACTTTCCTATCTCTTCTTTATCTGTTTTCATATTTTAATACAAATAACACCTACTTCATTCTTGCACAGACCCATATTGCAAAAGTTTTACAGGCTCTGGGCCTCTCAGTAACATGCTCTTGGACAAGTTAGACTCGTTACATCCTGGGTAAACATGCCTTTCTCAGCCCACTTTAAAAACCCCTGTTGCAACTTCTTTAGGGTGCATGTCTTTGTTAAGATTGTAACAGCATCTCCATAAGGGTAACACTGCAGGGAGGAGGCTATTATTGTGCTTGATCCACGGGGCGCTAAAAGGCTTGTATTTCTTGTTACTGTGTCTTGCCAGGGTATGCTTGGGTGTCTACTCCTGCTAAGGATGAGACTGACTTATCTGCCAGCTTCTCTCTTTCTGGCAGCAAGGAAAGTGCAAAGGCAGTTTCCAGACCCTGTCTTTACTGCTTGTCCATTTCAAAACACCCATGAGGACACTTGCCAGAGTCTTGCTATTTTGCTTTAAGGCTCATTTTATAAGCTCTGCACAGTATAGGCCTGAGGATTTCCTTCTGTAGAATTCTTGAATACAAACCAAAGTTGAACCATTGTTGAATGACTTTTTTTTTTTAAGGAGAAACAACACTTTCACATAAATCTCATATTCTACAGAAACCGATGCCTCAAATTATCAGATAACCTCCCAGTCATGGTGAATGAACTTTTTCAGCCACATACCCGCATTCAGTTTGAACACTGTAGACCAGTCTCAGTGCCACTGCTGACTACTCTAACCATCTGACTGGTAGTGACCTGGGTGAATTACCTGAATTCTCACAGTAGCACAACCCTAAGTGCATTTGTACCAGCTTAACATGCTTCTATATGCAAAGGGAAGAGTATGTTTTGGGAAAGGCAGTATCAGCTGAAATACTGTAACTGATAAAACACCCCAGTTTTTTTTGAAAAAGCATAAACTGCACAGGCTGGCTTGTCTGGGATGGCTCTCCACTCTGATAACAGCTATGAAATCCAAGGTTACAGATCGCTCTTATAGTAGACCATACTGTCTTCAGGAGCATCTTAATGTAAACTGCAAAAAAGACTAGCTACTTGACTAAGAACAACTGCCCTTATCCTACCAAAAATAAGTGACTATTGTTACCATTATGCTGCAATGATAATGTTATGATTCATTTCCAGATCAAGGGGAAATCTCTTCCCTGATCATCCCAGCCTAGAGAAGCAAGACCAGTGAGAAAGTGGGGAACACAATAACCTTTAATATGTAAGAAGTAATGCCATAATTTTTCACCTTTTCAGGCAGAATTGGGGGAGAGGAGGGAAAGAAGACAACAAGAAATCAGCTTAACTTGCAACAAAGGAGGAGACAGGAGTATGTGTCATGCTATCAGGAGCGAAACACTGGAACAATTTATATAGGACAAACAGCATCTTTCTCAACCACTTCTTAGAAGCCATTTAGAAAACAGTCTTTTGAGAATGATCCAGGTTTACTATGTCTTGCTGTAGTGGCGAAGCTCAGACTAGATCGTCACACTGCCTCTTCTACCCTACATTTACAGGCCTCCAGATATTGTTACCTCCACATCTAGCGAGAGCTTTTCCTGTGCCTGTCATTCTGATCTGTGAAAAACTATACTACTGTGGACTTTTTTGGAAGTAAAAGGTTGGGGGTTTTTTTTGTGGCTTGAGTATGTGGGTGGCCCTGCCTATGATGTGGGTCATGCTGTATGAAAATCCATGTACAAACAGGAAGACTGTTTTTTCCAACAGCTTAAATCTAAACAAACAAAGGGTTGGAGAAACAGAGCTTTAGCAGACACACAGCTATAAATTACATTATTGCTTCCCTTCCTGCCTTGCCTCTGATATATATTCCTCTACCAGAGGAAAGGATATCCAATCCACCTATGAAATGATACATGAAACACCACTTTCCAATCTGGTTTGGGGTGGGGGGAGAAAGCCATTATACTAGCTGTTCAATTGTCTTCTAACTGAAAACAATTGTGTAGCATTCGGATAGCAACAGTAAGAAAAATGGAGACTAAATCATCAGGCAGCAGCTTCACTTGCCTTACTAAACAGAGAACTTGCAATAAAGCAATACAGCATATATCTGTGTGCAGAATTTTCTCTGTCATTACACAACAGCATAGGAAAAGAAATGGCTCCTTCAAACTCCTTGGGACTGAATGTCTCTAATCTTCACTTCCCAGCTGCAGAGTTGTAAATTGGCATTCAAATTCTAGACCAGAGCTGTGAATTCAAGGACCTTGGCTCATCTTATCAGTTATGAGTGAGTTGCTGTCGCTATTACTAACATTCCCAGCACGACCTGCTCTCTTGCTTCTCATCTTCCAGTGGAATGAATTGCTCTTGCCAGTCAGGAATCCTTCCTACTGTTTGGGGAAGGCCAGCAATGGGAAGCACTACTTATCATGTGTCAAGCCACTTCAGCTATAGCCAAGCTGGGCCTGAGAATCATGAACTCCCCACGCTTAACGCTCTTCAGAATCACCCTGTTCTACAAATAACCGGCAATAAAGCCACCCTACAGAAACAGAGAGTAGTCTGGTAAAGAGGCAGAATATCCCCTCTATCACACAGAAGCGCCTGGCTCTACCTGAAGAGCCACAGGTGAGGCAGAAACCCTTCTCCAGAGCAGCCCGTGACCGGAACCTCGGCTTTCGGGCCCACCGGCACTGCGAGAGGGGACTGCTGCACCTCTCCAAGCACTCCGGAGCAGACCGAGCCTGGGGACACAGGACGGGGTCCGCCGCCGTGCCAAAGCGGCGGGCGGGGGAAGCGTGGCGGCCGCACCCGCGCCGTCACGGCTGCGGGCGTCCCCGTCCCCTCAGGGCCGGCCCGGGAACACCCCCGGTTGAGCCGCGGGGCGGAGGGGAAGCGGGGCATGACTCATGTTTTTTTGCCCGCTCCCCGGCCGGCACCGGAGCGTTCCCCGTCGCCGACGCAGCGCGGGGCGGCCGCTGCCAGAGGGACCGGCGGCGGGGGAGGCCGGCGGCGGGGGAGGCCGGCGAAGCGCGCCCCTCCGCACCCCTTCTCGATGGTGGGGGTGGGGGGCGCCCCGGCGGCACGTGGCCCACCCGGCGCCAATCGGGAAGGCCGAGACCATAGAGCAGAGCCGGGCGCCCGCTAGACGTTCCGCCCGCGGAGCCCGTCTCTCTGCTGCCGCCATCTTGTTGGAGGCAGCGGAACGCGGCCGGGCCCGGGCCCGGGCCCGGGCCCGGGCCCGCGCCCTCCTCCCGCTTCCCTGAAGCGCTCCCCACCTCCCGCCGCCCTCCCGCGCGGCCGGCGCCACCGGGCACCGGGACCGGCTTTACCTCTAGTAGGCCCGCAGCGAAGCCTATGCTGGGTACAAGGCCGAGGGGCCGGCCGCCATCTTGGTAAAGAAAAGGGCTGTGCGTGACCTACCAACATACGGGTGGTCCCTCCCCCACGTACCCTTAGCCGGCGGGTTGCTATGGGAATGGGGCGGACGCATGCGCGCCGGCCACGGCGCCGCACCTCCCGGCACCGCCCCGGGGGCGGGGCCGTCGGGGCGGGGCCGTCGGGGCGGGGCCTCGGGCCTCGGCTCCTCCCCTCCTCCTTTCCCCCCTCTCCCCCCGACGGTGCGCGCGCGCGGGAGCGGAGGTTGGGGTCGTTGGCTGTGTGAGGCGCCGGGAGGTGAGGTGAGGTGAGGGGCGCTGCTTTCCCTCGGTGGGGCTCGGGGGTCCGTCTGCGCGACCCCTCTCTGGAGGGGCGGTAAAGGAGAGCCCCTACCCCGGCTCTCCCCTCTGGGCGCTCCCGCGGGACGCGCTCGGCGGGCCGGGGCTGAGGGAGGAAGGGGCCGAGGGAAGGCAGCGGGACGGCCGGGAGGGGTGCGGGGGAGATGCTGGTGAGGAGGAAGTGGGCCGATGGGGGCTGCGGGGCGGGGCGGCGGCTGTAGAGCCGCCAGTTGCTTGGGGGTGTCGGAGAGGTTAGGTAGCGCCGGGCCTGCCTCCGCCGAGCGCGGGGCCTTGTGGTCGCCTGAGCGCCTGAAGTACCCGCCGACGGGAGGGCCTCGGAGCTGCCGTTCCCTCTTTCCAGAGGGGGTGAGGTAGTCACTCCGGAGCACTCTGCGCGCCACGCTTCATGAGACGCTCTCGTAGAAAACTCCAGCCGGGTTGTTGAAACCGCAGGGTAAGGAACATGATCGACCAGCTCCAGAGGAAAATCTGGACTGCTTTGAGACTGCCTGCTCCTGCCTGCGTGGGAGCGCTCAGCCGCTGCCCTGAAGGGAATGCTATGGGAAAGATCCTTCGTGAAAGATTTCTGTGCTTCTGTTGGTCCATATATTAAAAAGTAATGTAACTACAGCCATCTGCATAAGTAGCTCTCCTTTGTTTCTTGGTAGCTGTGAGAAACTTTCCTCTGCTCTTAGCCTGCCTCTGAGAAATAGTTGGGTGACAGACAAGCCTCGTGAGTTAAAAGAATGTTCTTCTGTGTTCTGGCGGGATCTAGTTTTGTTTGGCATTGAAAATCTCTCATGGAGAATGGTTAAGCAGGGATCAATGACATCACTCGGCAGGAAACACTCTTGGAAGGAAGAGTTGCTATTGGAGCAGTCTTGCATGGTGATAAAAGTCTCAGAAATAACCCCTTCAATAGTTGAATGCTTTATAGGTCATAGACCAGCTTATTGACTGAAATACAGACATTACAGGTACTAGATTTTATTTTTAGCATGAAATTTCACTTGAGAAGCATGTTGCCCAGTTTTTATTCTGTGTGTGTAATCAGGATGCGTAATGATGGTGAGCTAAAAAGTTGCATCTTAATAAACCTAAAGGAGGTTGCACTTTTAGATATATACATATCCAGTAGCTTTGAGAAGCAAATGCCATAGCTGCTGGAAATCATCAACAGTTTACAAACAACTTTGCCTTCTGCCTGGCACAAAAAAGGTTGGGCTCTTGTCCATCTGACACTGGGCAGTTTGCTTTGACTTCAGGATGGCTTTTTGATGGGAGTGTCGTACATTGAAGCAATTCAGTGTCATTTCACATGAAGCTGAACTCACTGACAAAAATCTGCTTGGAAGACGGGAAGAATCAGATGGTGATAATTTCAAATCCGTAGAATGAAAGTGGGAGTGAGCTAGATAGGTAAGAGGTGGCTATGGTATGTGGACTTTGTGAGTGGGAACAGATACCTTTTTGGTTAGAGGGCAAGCCAGTGGAGGGACTAGAAGGGGGACTTGGAGCACTGATCACTTGAAGATACAGCATATGCTGACATTTTTATATTGTCATAGTAATTTATATGATCTCTTGAAGTCATGCAAGTTAGCGTGATAGAAGTGTTGGCAGGTCTTTGTCAAGAGACTTTTTTGCATAGAGGTGTTAGATGAGAGATTATTTTTGTGTGTGTGTGTGTCTGCTTTGTATTTCAAAGTGATGCAGCTGCATGTGAAAATCTTACCTTGGCAACAAAAGTTAAAATGACTGAGGTTGCAAGCATCCAGACAAGAGAGGAAGAGAAAATGTTTTATTTTGAAGCTGTCGACTCTTCACAGAACACTCGAGCATGAAAGGAAATGTTGAGGGGAAGGAGGCTTAAGAAGAAAAAATAATACCCGAGTTGGGTTTTTTATTTTTGAAAAAACTGTTTCCTGTAAATAGTAAGATGTCTTTAAGCAGTGTGTTTGGTTTGGTTAGTTTCCGGAAAGGATGTGAACTTTTCTTTTTTAGGCTTCAAAATGGTTTATTGTACATCTAGTGCCTTTAGCACCGCGCATTCATGTTGCTTGAATTTATTGCCCAGTGATGATAATAGGAACAATGGTTGCTGAAAATTTTGTCCCTAGTTAATACCAAAGAGTCAAATACTTGTACTCTGTGAAGCAATTGACACTGTTTCAAATTCTGGACATCCAATCAAGAAAGTTTCTTTTTTATGTGCGATGGTGGATATTATATTGTTTTGTGGGGGTTTTTTGTTTTGCATTTTTTTTTTCTTGTATGATTTTCAATAAACTGAAAAACATTATTTTTCCAGATTCGTTCCTGACCTTCCATAAAAATGTCCAAGGTAAGAACAACATTTCTATCTTCAGTGTAACAATGTGAAACAGATATTTTGGTTTTAAATATTAATCTGCAAGGGCAAAATGTGTAACTTGCATCATGTTTGATGGTGATGCGTATACTAAATTTTGGGTCATAAGTAAGAGAGAATTCACATTTAGAAGAAATAACATTGAAAGGTTGAGTGATGTAAAACATATTAAAGTAGTTTCCTACAAGTATAAACCTTTGGAGTTAACTAATACTCTTGGAAGGATTTAGTTTTGGTCATGGAGTTGCATACAAGCTCCCTGGTGCATTTTCATTGGAACTTCCATTCTGCTACTGTGTTTTGAACAGGAATCATTTAAGGAAAGGATGTTCTTAGATTTAGTTTCTTCATTTACTAATAGCGTCAATTGATCTTCCAGTAAAATCCTTCATAAACAATGTGATAACTTAAAATATTTTTGACATGCTGGCATTCATCTAATTCTTGGTTCCCTGCGTTTGGTATAATGGGTAAAACATCCATGTTAGCTTATTGGAGTGAAATGAATGATAAAGGGTGCCTAAGTAATGTGTTTGAAGAGGGAAACTAATAGAGCTAAAGATTTCGCTGCAGTATTTGTAGTAGTGGGCATTTGAAACACTATTGTGTAAATTCCCCCTCCCCACCCCCCCTTTAAAAGAGATCTCTAAAGAGGACTTCCAGCAAATGGCTATCACTTCACGGGTTGTTCAGGGTTTTCATTTGGATGTGCTAAAAACAGATTAGAAATGGTCACCTTATTTAAGTCCATAAACATGGGACACAAGCTTTTTTTATTTCAAATGTGTGTGAAGACACTGTTTAAAAAGTGTGTGATTAGTGAATTCGCTTCATACTTGAATGAATAAGTGTTTGGCTTTTTGTTTCTTTTTTACTTCAGGTGATCCTGTCTGGGTGGCTGACTAAATGAATTCTTTTTTTTTTTTTTTTTTTTTTTTTAGACTCTAGGTGAATGCAGTTGTTCTGTACTTCATTGTGAAATCATTGAGTAGTAGGAACACCCATGTAGTTTTCTCTCTGTATGTCATGTAGCTTCCAACCATTTGAAATAACTGAGGAAGGCAGTTATACAAACAAGTATGTCTTGAGTGTTGCTTATTATTTTCTTATTTTATTTTATTTTATTTTTAGCAACAGCCTGCTCAGTTTACCAATCCAGAAACCCCTGGCTATGTTGGATTTGCAAACCTTCCCAATCAGGTTCACCGGAAGTCTGTGAAAAAGGGGTTTGAATTTACTCTTATGGTAGTTGGTAAGGAAACATTTTATAGTCTTTCTCAAAATTAGTACTTGCTCACAGGGAATTTGGAATTAAAATGAGTGTTACTTCCACCATTGTAAGGCTTCAGCTTGCCTCAGAAAGCTCTTCTGTGCTGTAGCATTCAACTTTCTTTTATAGTTTATTAATTCATGCAGCAGTTGTTTTCCACACTACATACCATGTTTGAATACAATGATAAGTTTGTGGGTGGAGAAATTCTGTTGTGCACTCCAGTGGTCATTACTTCCTTCCTTCGCTCCTGTCTTAAAGAATTCAAGCATTCTATTTAAAATATAGTTTTAAACTGGTTTTGCATTTGAATACAATCTTTATTTGCTTGCATGTCCTGATTAAGAGACTAGTATTAAGGAGACTATTCTATTTAAAATGTTCTTTATGCTTCCATGGTTCAAAAGAATCTGAACACTGGTCTTTACACCCCTTCTAAATACTCTTTTAAGAGAAGAATGAGGATTGGATTAGTTGTTTTTGATGCAAGCTGTTACTCTTTAAATTGATCTTGATTTTCTGTTAGCAATTATAACTTAAAGTTTAATTCTATTCAATATTTCATTGAGAATCTGTGTTGATATCTGGAATTGAAAGAAAAATCTAGTGTGACTGCAGAAATACCTTGATCCTCTGAGAAGTTGGTGTTATTTTTGCAAATTAAGTAGGCTCCCACATCAGGCTTGTGCTTCTTCTGTATCTCTCCCGTTACTGCTTGGGAGCTGTAACTTCTGAGTTTTGGTATTTGAACTCTGTAATTGTCCCTTTTAAAATAGGCTTTGCAAAAAGTACCTTAATAGAATTAGGTTCTTTATTACCTGGCATCACAAGAAGTAAATCCCATTTGTGTGTTAGAGTTGTCCAAGAGACTTCACAGTGGCAATGAGCCGGAGAGGTGAGGCAGTATGTGATAGGAGATGTTTAAGTTCTTAATTGTTTTGGATTCCAGTAGTTACAGAAAGAGTCTGTGCTCAAACCTTTCATTAGTTTTGCCAAATGACAGCCCTAGCATTCCTTTTATCCTGTTTCTCTCATTTGTACTTCAGTGTTGGGCAGACTTGGCCCTTATTTTTGTCTTCCTAGAATTTTATCATAGTTGTTTACTGTATCTTTCATTGGATTTGCTTAGGATAATATCATA